ACAAACCATCTAGCACCAGAAATATTAGGAATGGGAGAGGGTCCCCAAATATCACTATGAATAAGAGAGAATGGAGTTTGACATCTTTTGTGACTAATTGGAAAGGAAGTACGTTTGTGTTTTGCAATTTCACAATCATCACAATGAAAAGACTCGACAATCAAATCTTTGAACAAAGATGGGAACATCCTTTTGATTACATAAAAGGAAGGGTGACCTAACCGACGATGATAAAGCCATACTTTCTCTTTATTGGACATGATAGATTCAGACAAGAATGAACTAGACAAGGAATTCTTAGATATATATTCACCATTGTGGAAATCCAAACAATAAAGACCACCTTTCTCACTAGCACGCCCAATCATCTCCTTCGTGTTCTGTTCCTGAAATAAGCAATATGAAGGGAAGAAAGTTACTTGGCATTTGGAATCTTTGGTGAGTTTCTGGACAGAAATGAGATTTGCAGATAACTTTGGGATATGAAGGACATCTTTAAGTATCAAGGATTTTCCAAGTGGTATGTCTCCTTGCCCAGCTACAGTAATAACTGAACCATCAGCTATAGTTATTTTTTTATAGCTAGGACAAGGGGAATATGATATGAAGAGATGAAAGAGACTGGTCATGTGATCAGTTGCAACGGAATCAACCACCCACGTTGGAGAAAGTTTGTCTGAGACATTAGTAATAAAAGAGTAAGAAATACCTGTGAAGGTCAATGAACAACTACCTGTTGAAGCTGAATGTTGCAAATCTCCAATTGAAACTGTAGAGTTATTCTCTACGGTTGCAGAAACATTTTTCAGAGACTGGAATATTTGCGGCAGTACCATTTTCAGACATGGTTTGGGCAGATAAAGATAGCAAAATGGGATTTTTCAAGATAGGATGAATAAAATTGGCCAGGAATAAGCCTTAGCTCTGATACCATGTGGAATAAGATTATTGAATAATTTCATTCATATTTTCCTATGTCATGTACATGGCTTTATATATACATAAAAGATTGTGGAATAGAATCACCTAAATCTTTACATTAAGAGAAAGAATCAGAGATATGATATTCTAGATTACCACAATTATACTAAGATCTTAGAGGATCATATCTTGATATGAAGAATATCTTCTCATCTTAGAGGATCACATTCTTTGATGACAAGAATATCTTCTTGGAAATCCTCCATCAGCCAACATAAAGAGTAAAATTTATAACAAGTACTACTAATAGTATATGTAGTACAATGCAACTAAAAAACCCGGAAGAATAATGGAAGTGAAGAATTAGACATAATTATGCTGCAAAAAAGCAGAAAATGCACATACATATGCTCAATTTTGCAAGCGAACAGCAGGATGAATAAAGATGTGAAATGATGCTACATAAGATACATAACAAAGTCAAAGGCAATAACTGTAAAATGGTTGTAAGACCTGCAGTGCTATATAACAAGAATAAATACTTGTATAAAATGAATTGAAAAATATTCAAAAAGAAAATGGTAATGGGAGCATTTGTCCTATTCCTATATGTACAAACCCAAATCAGGCAAATTTTTACCCGGAGTAGAGCATAAACCTAAAAAGATAAAGTTGGATGGAATTTTATTGTATCTTTTTATTATTGGTGTAAAAAGATAGAAATAGATGAATTAGAACAAGCAGATTTGTTAGGATCTCTGTGAGTAGCTTCCTCCAACTCTTTTTCTTTTCTTCTCTTTTCTTTTCTTTTGCTTCTTTTTGAAAGTCTCCAGCATATCCTAAATGTTGAGGAATACCACATCACCAATTTAAAAAAAAAAGTGTGCGACCATCTGAGAGCACACTTTTATTTTCTTAATCATGTCTTCAACACACCCATCACATGTGGGCTAAGATTATTTTACATGACCAATTGTGTGAAAAATCTTTTTTATAATGGGTGACAGTGAGCTTCGAACTCAAGACCTTTACCATATTGAAGTACGTGACCATTTCATCTAAAAACTTAAGTTGTTAGAGAGACTTATTTTCTTAATAATGTCTTCAACAACAAGAAAAGTTGTGCCTTTAATGCCCGATATATCAAAAATAGGAGGTATAGAAATAAAGGTAGTATTTTTTTACTAAGACCTGCAGTGCTAAAAAAAAGGTAGTATTTTTTTACTGGAAATTTTTAGGCAGAACTTGCACTGGCTTTGGTTGTAATAGTAAGTTGATTCGCTTCTGAGTGATGTTTGGAATCTCTCAAGCAAGAATATTTTATTGATAACCATTTCTAGCAAGAATGATTGGAGTCTTCAACAATGACTCCAGTCATTGAGAAGATTGAACTAAGATGAGGTAAGCTCGATCTTTAGGGAAAATTATTAGTTTTGACGCCATAGCATCAAGGTCCCAGGAAATAAATTATAAAAGCCTGCTTTCATGGAATTTTTCAGTTCCAACTCATTCAAAGACACTAGGACTCAATATTGTAAGAAAGGAACTGTGTCTCTTCAATCCAATACACTGAGGTGAATGAAGAATGGATCCTATTGCAAGCATATGATATTAGAAACATGATTTTTACTATAGATTCTTGGATTATTTATAGATTTCACATTTAGAGATGATAGTACTATCCAGAAAAGGAGGTTCTAGAATTCTTTGGTGAAAAGGTTATTTCTGAACCTAAATTCGGTGAATTGTATTCATTTATGCTATGTGTAATTGAGATTAAGAATTTGTTGATTCACTTCAGTTGAAATCAAAATCAAAAGGAAAATACCTAGGGTTAAGTATAACTGCACTGTTCAGATACCCCTACCTATACACCGGACAGATAGTTACACAATACAAAGCAGCTCACACAGTCCATGCATCCAGCACCAGACAGCAGTTGCTCATCAGGTTACCCAGAGCATCAGATATCAGAGGTTCTGTTTATTCAATAAATTGTTCCTTTAGAGGTGTATTTCTTCTGAAGATATCCTTGGTGTTGTTCCCATACTAAAGCACAAAGTAATTTCTATCGAAGTTTTGTGGTTCTCTTACTCCAGTATTGATCCAAAGTGACTAAAAGCATTGAAAAGTAAATCATTTTGTACTATGGCAAGACCCATAATCATTTTCTCAAATAGTTCAGTGCTTTTAGAAATGTAAAAGAAATATAGAAAAAGCCATTGGATTGTTAACCTAATTGCAAATCAATCTGAAGTACAAAAGGAAAAATTATATATAAAGTAAACAGCAGTGCAACCGTAAGAGAATCTACCTTTTTCCTTAGACGACTCTTTCGTGCAGCTTCACGATTTTGGGAAAGCCTACGAAGTGTCTGTGGAAAAGAAGAGTTCAACTCAGTTAAAAAACCCTTTTTTTCAATCATTATTCTAATCAAATTCTGAATGTGCACAATGGACTAACCTTTTGGTCTCTGGTTTTGTCACTTGCATCGGAAGTGGCGCCCAATGTTAGAGAGTTTAGAAACTGCACCAAGAATGATGAAGAACAATTTCATTAAAATTTGAAGTACAGATTAGCATAAAAGTACAGCAAGATTCCGGAAAGTTCTGGAGCCATTAACTAGTTTGAAATAAAATGTGTTTTTTTCCAATATCGAATTGCTCTTTTTTTAGTAGACCTCTTGTCTTCCTGAAACACTTCGATAACATGTGCTAGTTTTGCAGATCAGGAAAAAGAAAAATTCCCTCCAAGTAATTTTAGAACATAGGGAGACGATATATAATAGAGCATAATGGATTTATATAGGTGATAACAACTACTTGGGGCTAAAGCTTAGTCATGTTAGAAAGCTTATACTAGGTCAGGTTCTTCCCTTCCACTGCACCACAAAATATCCTTAAGCACTGCCCTTGGAAATCAATGGAAAATAAATAAGCTTATAACTTCATTTTTAATTAACATATGGAACAGTACTGGCAATGTCTGGCCTGGAACTATCTTATATAAGGTGAATCATTCAGATTTTTGTAGAAGTAGATAGAGGTAACAGAATTTACAGGGATAGAATCTCAATTATATAAACTAAGAAAAAAAAATCAAAAGAAGTTTTATGTTATTGCCTAGAATTTTGTTCAACTAGTCAAGAATAAAAGCATAAGAACTGCCTAGTTTTCTTTGAAAAATAAAGAACATTGGTGTGCCAAATGGACTCTAACAAAACTTTGAATGAAGATAACCAGAAATTATCAACCAAAATATCATGCAGATAAATGCTTATTTTAATCTAGAAAAGCTATAGCTGAAATTTGAAAACATTAAATAAGATAAGAAAGTAATAACAGATTTACCCTCAAGTTTTTATCATCTGTATCAACATCTGTTGACGTATCAGTCATAGCACTGACGTCTGCCATTGTGTAGTACCACCAACTTCACGGACAACCACTTCAGATTGGGAACTCGTTTGTAGACTCTTTCTGTAAAAGAACTGAATTAACATGATATCTATATAAGGAAAGACTTGATGAAATTAAGTTGACAACTGCACAAAGATACTGTACAACTGTATCAAAATGCAAAAGAAACTTCACCTAGTGAGCTTTGCAAAGTATACCAGACGTGAGTCCGGACAAAAGCAAATTAAAGATGAGTACTGAAATGTAGCACTTCATGAACACTAGATTTTGTTCACTATGATGGAAGCTCATTTGCCAAACATTCAGCTATAGCAAAGAGAAATCACATCTATCTCATATTTAGTACTAGGCTTCAGCCCCACTAACATTGGCCATCAGATCTCATGCCTCACAAATTAACCTACAAGAAGATTTAATCATTCTTCTAAGAAGCTCAAGGAAACACTCATTTGAGAAACACGTGAGAGAGCCGACTGCCTTAGAATTATTGCAAGCTGAACAAGGAGACAAAAACATAGCATAGATTCAGCATCGTTGAGAATCCTTTGGCATATAGTGCTCTACTCTCTGGTTGGGTGGTGCCTCTAATCAGATGATCTCCTATTGTTGAGTCTCTAATGTGAAATTACTAGTGCTACATGCATATGCTGAAGTTCTTCGTAATCGTCATTTCCTCATTAATTTTTCATTGCCTTCTCCATTTTAGAATTAATGCACTTCCAATAATATTGAACTTTTAGATAATCTAGATAGGTCTCGTCAATCTAGAGAAAGAATTGATCTAATCATGAGCTTGCTGGCAAAATGGCCAATGACGTATGCTAGAGAAGAAAACAGCTTATGGAGGGAGGTCATTCACAAAAAGTATGGAACATTTAGCCATTGGTGTACCAAGACAGTGAACACCCGCTATGGAGTAAGCATATGGAAATCCATCAGGGCTCTTTGAGATGTCTTTGCAGGAAACACTGAATTACCTCTGGGGAATGGTAGAAAAATTGCTTTCTGGAATGATAAATGGATTGGCCAGGAACCTTTGAAGTTTGAAGGACGGTTTTCCCGAATTTCATAGACCGACTGTTAGTACTGATGCATCTATCAGTTAAGTGGGGAATCAAAATGGATGGAATTCTAACTTCAGAAGAGGGCTAAATGATTGGGAGATGGAAAGACTGACTTCCTTTTTGCAGATTTCGTAAGGGCTGAGAGAACTCAACGATAATGAAGATGTTTTGGTATGGAAGGACAGGGGAAACAAGGTGTTCACAATCAAGGGTGCCTATGCTTTCTTTAGTAATGAGGGCCATCACTCCAGTTGGCCTTGGAAGCAGATCTGGAAGGCAAAAGCACCCTCTAGAGTGAATTGTTTCTCATTGTTTTTTTTAACTTAATTGTTTCTCATGGTTGGTGGCTAGAAAAGCCTGTTTTAACTCATGAAAAAGTTCAGAGAAGGGGTATGCAGTTGGTATCCATATGTTGCCTCTGCAATGCAACAGCAGAAGATAACAGCCACTTTTTTTTCACATTGTGTATGTACTGCCCAGCTGTGGCAGCTTTTTCTGGCTCTGGCTAACCTTAAATGGATTATCCAGGAAACACTTTTGAACTTTTGATAGCTTAGGAGTTAGGACCAAGCTAGGAGGAATGTAAAGCAGAAGAAATGATGGAAGGCAATTCATTTGTGCTTTTGGTGGACCATCTGGACGGGAAGAAATAGCAGATGCTTTGAGAACAATAGTAACCCAATACAGAAAGTCCTTATGAACTGTATTTTGAGCTAGCATTTTTGGTGTAAAGAATTTTGTATAGAGGATGTTGATGCCATCCTAGACTTTTTGGAAGCTTTATGAAGTGTACATAGGCTTTATTCTTTTATTTGTACTGCTGTTGTCAGTACAATCTTTTTGTACTGATGAATGCAATGAACCATTCTAAAAAGTGAATTTCCACGAGTAGAGTTTGTTAATTTTCCCTTCATGGTTTCTTAACTTTTAACTTTCTATGCAAGTTCAGATTTCACCAAAGTAAATAACTATGATATCTTTTGATTCCTAATTTATAAAAGGTTCTCCAAGGCGCTACACAGTTGGGCCTATGAAAAAGGGAAGAGAAACACAGCATATGAGAGGTTGGCCAACTTGCTTTAATATGGGTCTCAAAGAAGAGGAATAGGCGAACTTCGAATTGATTTTTTTGAGAAAGTTCACTGGTATTATAAACAAAAGGAGTACACCAATAGTGTGCTCCTACATAGTTACATCAAAAGTATGAAAGGACAGCCCAAAACAAAATCTATCTCCTATATTCCTTATAAACTGTCTAGAAATAGGTTAATTTCCCCTATATCCTTAGGTACAGAATGTATACACCAAAAGTAAAATGTTGCTAAACAGTTCATCTTTATACTTTGGAAGGGAATGTTCTTGTTCTCAAAACATCTCTGGTTTCTCTCCTTCCAGATTGTCCACCAGATGCAAGAAGGGACAATCTTCCATCTCTCCTTGTGTTCTGACTGATTTCCATCTCTATTCCAGCATGCTAGTACTTTGTACATTGGAGAAATAGTTTCTAGTTTCTTTTTGGTGCACCTTGAAGTTCCTCGTCGTATAGACAATGTATTTAATGGAGAACCAGACTTTTGAAACAGGAATTTTACCAGATTACTAAAATTGCATAGCCAAACCAAAAGGAGAACAAAAAAGATTGAAAAGTTCTTCATGTAACACAAACACAAGCAACAGCAAGTACCAATTTAGGAAGAACAAATTGGAAAGCTGGAGAATGATGAATATCTCAACACAAATAATCACACACTCTTTTGAAGAACATCTGCCCATCTCATTTAAGTTTTCTACATACAACACAACAATTTTGGCTCAATCCAAAGTTAGTTGGAGTTGGCTATATGAATCCTCTATGCCAATTCTTCTACAGTTTTAGACTCATTTCATTTCTATCAGGGGCAGAGCTAGAAGCTCAGGGTTGACTAGAAGGAGTTGCTAAGATGGTAAGCACCACTCACCTCCAACCTAAGGTTTTGGGTTCGAGTAACCAAGTGAGCAAGAAAGGGTGGCAACTCCTAGGGAGGGATAAAAAATAACAAAAACTACTCAAACAGTATATTTGCGTTAAGAAATTCATTTAAGTTATATAATCATTACATTTAGAATCCAGATACTAGCACTTGAAGTAGTCATTTTAAAATCCACAACCCATGAAGTTGAAATCCTAACTCTGTCTCGCCTTTGATTCCAATGCAAATCAGGATTTCCTTTATGTAAGAAAAGAATATGTTATTCTCTAAAGTTTCAGACAAGAAAAATAAAAGATTGTTCATCTATTATCTAATTCTAGACACACTTAACCCAGCTGAACTTCTGATCCATATGATTAAGAATCATTTGCATCTTATATATAATAGAACCCAACAAAATTTTCTCCCTCTAACCTCCCCAGCACAATTAATAAAACTTGCTCATCAAATCTTCATAAAGAACAAATATTTTCACCTTCCGCCTAAAAGACGGACACCCCCTTCTACAAATAGTACACAAAAAGCAGCCAAGTACATGATAACTGAATAGAAAGATAGGCGAGTGACTTACAGTTAAAGAACGTGAAGGGTCTGTTGGGAAAAAAGTAATACTTCAACAGATAACCAAAATCAGAGAAACAGACTCAAATCGTTTTCTTATTTTACTACAATTTTCTTTTGAGCCAAAGGTCTTGGTGCACATACAACAGAACAATTATGCCTCAATCAAAGTTAATTGGGGTTGGTAATATTGATCCTCTATGTCGGTTCTGCTACAGTTTAGACCCAATTCATTCCAATGCTCAATATTTTGTTTCAAGACACATCATGATTTCCTTTACAGCAGCAACAACGTACACAGTGTAATCCCACAAGTGGGATCTTGGGAGGGTACAGAGTATACGCACACCTTACCCCTACCTTAATTAAGATAACTATTTTCGATAAGACCCTGGGCTCAAAACAGATAAAAAAAGACAACAACAGCAACAAGTAGGAACAACAAGAAAATACAATAATCAAGGCTAAAGAATCAACCAATAGACACACTAAAATCAACCTGGGTTTCAGAGCTATATGATCAAGAATCATTTGCATATCAACAACCACAATATACCATTGTAATCCCACAAGAGGGGTCTGGGGAGGGTACACAGTATACACACACCGTACCCCTACCTTAACTAAGGTAGATAGACAATTTTAGATAGACCCTCCTCTCAAAACAGATAAAAAAAGACAACAGGCAGTAAGAACAACAAGAAAATACAACAATCCAGGCTAAAGAATCACCCAATAGACAAACTTAAATCAACCTGAGCCTCAGACCTATATGATCAAGAATCATTTGCATCACATAGATAATAAAACCCAATTTATCAAATCCTCAAAAAGTTCAAATCTTTGCACCTTCCGCCCCAAAACACAGACACCCTCATCTACAAATAGTACATAAAAAGCATCTAAATACATGATAACTGAAGAGAAAGAAGGGAAAGTGACTTACAGTTCAAGAGAAGGGTCTGTTGGACAAAAAAAAAACTGAGACTTCAACAGATAACCAAAATCAGATTAAAAAGACTCAATCTTTTTCTTCTTTTCTTACACCCCTTATGGTTTTTACTTCCAAATTCTTCTTCTTCTTCAGAATTCAGTAAATCAGTGAAATCAACTAATCTTTCAGCAAAAAAACAAAACTGAAGTCTTTGAGTCTTTCTACATTCTCTCTTTCTTTTGTGTGTTGGGGGTGGGGTGCGAGGGGGGTATAGGCTATAGCTTTGATTCACTATGAATTATTTATTTTCTAAGAAAATATCAATATTTTAGCCAAATTGAGTGGATATGTCCGTCGCTAATATTTTATTACAAGTGCACAACCATGTTTTTATCGTCCAATACTTGATTCAAATTTATTCTTACTCACCGCACACTAATTAGATAATTAATAAGCAGTAAAAAAACAAATATATCTCCAAATTATTATAAATGATATGCATATACATTTGGGGAAAAGGATAAATATATTCCGAACTATCGTAAGTAGTATGCAGATACCCTCCGTCATACTTTTGGGACATTGGTGCCCTCTGCCGTCCAAAAACTAAAATATATATGCCCTTCACTCTAACGGAAGACTAAAGAAGGACACGTGACGCAATTTTATCCATCGATCCGATATTTAATAAATATCAAATTGATGAATAAGATTATAACACGTGTATGTCTGTTATTATAAATTGTACATATGCTCTAGTATGGAAAACAAGTTGCACAAATAACTAAGGTATGCTTTCTAAAATGTAGCTTTGATTGATATTTGACAATTTTTTAGCATAACTAGAAAATAAAACTATAACTTTTAAAAAAAACTTAATAGTCCTTCTGCCCAAATTTCTAAAGTAAAAAAAACTTCGTGTACGTTTATTAAACTTTACTTACTATAAACAATAAACTTATAAAATTATTATTTACTAAAAATAGTACTTTCGAAAAGCACTCTAAACCTTCCATATTACAAACTTTTTTTTTTTTCATCTCTTTAAAAAAACAAATTAGGAACACTAGGAAATTTATTTAATTTTAAAAATAAAAGAAAGAAAAAACAAAAAGTTGAAAAGAATAAAAAGCATTATTTTTTCTTCCTACAATTTCTCACAATCAATCTTAAGTAATAACCTTCATGTTCCAACATTGAATCTAAACTTCCTCTTGCATTAAACAATACTATACAATTCATAATGAATATTCTCTCTTTAAACAATAATTATTTCTTTTCTTCACCCCCTAATTTTTCACTCATTTGATTCTAATACATTTTTTTGTTTTTCTAATTAATGTTCTGTATTTGAGATTCACGCATAATAATAGTTATCGTTACGGTATTGTTGAATCTCTCTCAATTATTGTGTAGTTTTTTCACCTTCATTTCTTTGCATTTAAGTTTGTGCTAATTTCCTTCTCTCTGTTTGAGATTGAGGCGTAATAATTGTTGTCCTTACGTCGTTGTTAAATCTCTCCCCATTATTGTGTAGTTTCTTCACCTTCATTTCTTTGCATTTAGGTTTGTTGTAATCTCCTTCTCTCTGTTTGAGATTGAGGCATAATAATTGTTGTTAATCCTTAGCTTAGGTCGTTGTTACATTTAGGTTTCCTATAATCTCCTTCTCTCCTTTAGAGATTGAGGCATAATAATTGTTATCGTTACATTTATTATGTAATTTCCTCACCTTCATTTCTTTGCATTTAAAAGTTTGTTCTAATTTCCGTCTCTCTTTTTGAGATTAAGGCGTAATAACTATTATCGTTACGTCATTGTTGAATCTCTCCACATTATTGTGTAATAATTTCCTCACCTTCATTTCTTTTCATTCAAATCTCCTTCATTCCTATTTCAGATTGAGACGTAATCATTGTTGTCCTTAGGTAATCTCTCCCTAATTATTTACCTTCATAATTACTTCCCATTTTTTTTATCCCCAAATAAAAAATGGGGAATTGTTGCTCTAGTGGAGAAGAACAACCAAATGAAACAACCAACAACAACAATGAAAGCAACAACCCTAAAAGTGTAGAAAACAATTCATCTACACATAAAAATAATAATAATAATCTTGATCAAGGTTCAACAACACCAACACCAACACCAACAAAAACAACATCTCCTAGTCCATCATCAAAACCATCAAAACAATCACCAATAGGATTAGTACTAGGTAGACCAATGGAAGATGTTAGAACAACATATACTATAGGAAAAGAACTTGGTAGAGGACAATTTGGTGTAACACATTTATGTACACAAAAACAAACAAGTGAACAATTTGCATGCAAAACAATAGCTAAGAGGAAACTAGTTAACAAAGAAGATATTGAAGATGTTAGAAGAGAAGTACAAATAATGCATCATTTAACAGGTCAAGAAAACATTGTACAACTAAAAGGAGCTTATGAAGACAAACATTCTGTACATTTGGTCATGGAATTATGTGCTGGTGGTGAACTTTTCGATAGAATTATCGCGAAAGGACATTATACAGAACGCGCTGCAGCTTCATTGTTAAGAACAATTGTTCAAATTGTTCATACTTGTCATTCTATGGGAGTTATTCATAGAGATCTTAAGCCTGAAAATTTTTTACTTCTTAGTAAAGATGAGAATGCACCTCTTAAGGCTACGGATTTTGGTCTTTCCGTCTTTTATAAGCAAGGTACGTACCCATTATCATTTTTATCTGTCACTTTATAGTCAAAATTATGATTGGTTGGACCTTAGGTGCGATAATTTCAAGGAAAAATGTATTTTGTTTCAAAATATTTGTCATACTAGAAAGTTTAAGAAAAAATTTAGGGTTTTTTTTATGCAATTCTACCCTATTTAGTATTTACTCCAACAAGGCATAATATAGAGCGTGTTCGATAGGGAGGAAAATATTTTTTAATTTTCTCATGTTCAGTTTCTTAAAAATGATGTAAAATGACTCTACCAGTGGAAGTATGGAAAACAAGTTCCATAAAGATCATTTCATATTGATTGTGTTCTCCCCACCCTCCAACACAACTCATGTTCACCCCACCCCCCGTATCCCCACCACCCCACGTACACCTCTATCTCTGCCTCACCTTCTATAGTATTTGTCAAGATTATATACAAATACTTTCAGGATAACATTATTGCTTACGTACCACCGTACGGGACATAAGAAAACAATTTCTCTAGAAAGAAAAATGACTCTCCTATAGTGGAAGTATGGAAAACAAGTTTTACAAATAACATTCCATATTGATTGTGTTCTCCCCACCCTCCAGCACAACTTATGTTCACCCCCACTCCTGTATCCCTACCACCCCACGTACACCTCTATCTCTGCCTCACCTTTTATAGTGTTTGTCTAGATTATACACAAATACATTCAGGATAGCATTTTTTCTTACGTATTGGACATAAGAAAATAAGTAAGAAACCTATTTATTTTCTAGAAAACGTATAATTACTCCACTAAGGAAGATTTATAAAGGGTAATTTAGTCAAGTGTTCTTTATAATTACTGCTATTAAACAATTTTTCAATAACTTGTAAAAATATATGTGAAAATTTTGGTTATATTATATGTTTTTTTTGTGCAGGAGATGTATTTAAGGATATTGTAGGTAGTGCATATTATATTGCACCTGAAGTATTGAAAAGAAGATATGGACCAGAAGTTGATATATGGAGTATTGGTGTTATGTTATATATTCTTCTTTGTGGAGTTCCTCCTTTTTGGGCAGGTAAAATTTACACCACACATATATAATTATTGAGAAAAATCCGACCCTTTTTCAAACCCCATGCTATGTTATTTTGATAAAATGTTATTGGATCAAATGTCACATACGTTATTGAGAATTATTCTCGAACGAAATGAAATTCGGATTGATATAACATTAGAAATATTTTTCATTCCTTAGTTAGGAAGATACGTGGCCGTGAATAAAGTAGAGTCGTGGAAACACTTATTTCGTTTGTATTTTAGGCCTTAGTCCAGCAGACACTTAGTGCACTGAGCTATTTTTTAGTAATGTGATGGAGTTGCAAAAACTTCTGGATAGGTATTCTATACCTGAACCGAATTATTTCTGGTTAAAGAATCTCTTTCTAGTTGCTCTGGAACAATTAGAAGATTCTCTAGAAGAAATACAGGGTTTCCCAACTGACAAGCAGATGCAGAGCCAGAAATTTTATCAAGGGTGGCCAAGAATAATGATGTGTGACCGTCAAAATAAAACAAAAAAAGCATTGTGCTATTTGAGGTTCAAACCCAGAATTTATTGATTCAAATGGACACCCACTACTACTCCGCCAAAGGTGTAGCCTTTGTCAAGGGTGTTCAGCTTAAAATATATATTATTTGAATGAAATATATATATAACGTAATTTCTGGCGAAGGATGTCCAGTTGGACACTCTGAAATGGTTATAGCTCCACCCCTACTGACAAGGGAACTCAAGTGAAAGACCTAACACTTCCACTGCCCGAAATTCTTATCATTGAAAAGAAACTGCACAATTAGTAGTGAAGGATCAATCCTCTAACATGGAAAAAACTATAGTTTTTGTATATAATGATAAAAATAACAATATATGGCTAGGTTAAATTCATTGAAAATTGATTTTTTAATTATTATTTTTTCAGAAAATGAAAATGGAATTTTCAGTGCAATATTACGTGGACATGTTGATTTTTCAAGTGATCCATGGCCTTCAATTTCAAGTGGTGCAAAAGACCTAGTCAGAAAGATGTTAACTGTTGACCCTAGGCAGAGGTTAACTGCTATGCAAGTCCTAAGTAAGTTTTTTTTTCTTTTACATCTTTTGAATGACTAGTAATTTTATATTTCAGATAAACAGGTGAACCGGTTATGGTAGACTTCTATCCGATAGGGTTTGTGGAATTGAGAATCCCTTAATTTACAGTATAATAAAACTCAAAATGTTTTAAGGTGGTATGTCAGTTGTCACGTGGCGTCTATCATACTAAATATCAGGTCATGTAGATTTTTACTTTGTCACAGTGAACGAGTGTTAAAAAGAGGGTATTTTTGTAAACTTTAGTAAAGACAGAGGTATATTTGACCTTATAATATAATTAGGGATATCTAAAGATAAACCAAAGTAAAGGGATATTTTTGACATTTTTTCCTTGATTTATGGAAAGGGATCACACTACTTATTACTTCTAGGGGTAATTACAGTCTAATATTTTTGAGTGATCTAGTTTACAAAATAGTCAGCAAGTATACAACTTTTGTATACTTAACTACAAAGATACATAATTTTTATGTATTTATATACCAGCCAAGATTGTGGTGGTCGGGATGATAAATGTTCTTTTGTCCTTAACTAGAAACTACAGGTTCGAGCCCTTAATATGAAGTCACCTTTGGTAGGAGCGATTTATCCTCCTTTTAGTCAAGCCTTAAAGGGGAATATCAAACACCAAATTAAAAACTAATAAAATCTATATTCAAATAATAATGTCCATTTTAAGATTTTTAAAACCCTCATTTTGTCTAACAAATTGTTGTATATATATATATATATATATATATATATTAAGATCATTCATGGATCAAAGAGGATGGAGAAGCACCAGACACACCTCTTGACAATGCTGTATTACATAGGCTCAAACAATTTAGAGCTATGAACAAATTCAAGAAAGTTGCTCTTCGGGTAATGCTATATTTTACTGTTTAACTACAAAACTTATCCGTCAGATATTATGTTGAGTATTTTCAAAAGTAGATTAAATTAATTACTTTGAGTTTTTTGTTTTTTTTTAGGTTATTGCAGGATGTCTATCAGAAGAAGAAATTATGGGATTGAAGCAAATGTTCAAAAATATGGATACTGATAATAGTGGAACAATAACACTTGAGGAATTAAAACAAGGATTAGCCAAACAAGGGACTAAATTATCTGATTATGAGATTAAACAATTAATGGAAGCGGTAAGTTTTATTATTCGTATTCATTCACTCTAATCTATTCAACTATTATAATTATTATTTTTTATGAGCAAAAACAAGCTTTTTCGAGTTATTCAATAAAGTTTCCCCTATGTCCTTCTTTCTTATTCATTTTGAATTTTAATGAATATTGACGATATATATAGCTGACTTCAACTATCTTCGATGTGTTTATAAACTTTGTTTGAAATAATACATGCACATATTCAATAATGATTTTTTCTTTAAATTTTTTAAACCTAAACTATTTACTATGACATAGTATTTTTTTTAAAAATTCTAATGCTAATTAATTACTTTTTTTATATATTGGAAAAAAAATTAGGCTGATGCTGATGGAAATGGGACAATAGACTATGAAGAGTTCATCACAGCAACCGTGCACATGAACAAAATGGATAGAGAAGAACATCTTTACACTGCATTCCAATATTTTGATAAGGATCATAGTGGGTAAGTTTTGTTATAGATGTGATTGTTTTATTTTATTCATCTATATTTCATGAGTTCGAGCTGTGAAATCAATCATTGATACTTGTATTACCATAGGTTGTTTGCATCACACCCCTTATGAGTTCGAGCGGTGAAATCAATCATTGATACTTGTATCAACATAGGTTGTCTGCATCACACCCCTTATGAGTTCGAGCGGTGAAATCAATCATTGATACTTGTATCAACATAGGTTGTCTGCATCACACCCCTTATGAGTTCGAGCGGTGAAATCAATCATTGATACTTGTATCAACATAGGTTGTCTGCATCACACCCCTTATGAGTTCGAGCGGTGAAATCAATCATTGATACTTGTATCAACATAGGTTGTCTGCATCACACCCCTTATGAGTTCGAGCTGTGAAATCAGTCATTGATACGTGTATCAACATAGGTTGTCTGCATCACACCCCTTATGAGTTTGAGCTGTGAAATCAATCACTTGCATCACACCCCTTAGTGAGTTCGAGTTGTGAAATCAGTCATTAATACTTGTATCATCATAGGTTGTCTGTATCACACCCCTTGGGGTGCGTGCGACTATTCTCCATACCTTGCATGAATGCGGATGCCTATTGCAATGGGTTGTTTGTATCAGCATAGGTTGTCTGCATCATACCCCTTATGAGTTCGAGCTATAAAATCAGTCAATGATACTTGTATCAGAAATGTTGTCTGCATCACACCCCTTATGAGTTTGAGCTGTGAAATCAATCACTTGCATCACACCCCTTAGTGAGTTCGAGTTGTGAAATCAGTCATTAATACTTGTATCATCATAGGTTGTCTGTATCACACCCCTTGGGGTGCGTGCGACTATTCTCCATACCTTGCATGAATGCGGATGCCTATTGCAATGGGTTGTCTTTTACTTGAATTTTGAAATTCGGCGTATTCTCAATCACGAATGTTATTTTTTTTCCTTAGATATATATCAAGAGAAGAGTTAGAGCAAGCTCTTAGAGAATTTGGTATGGATGATGAAAATGATTTGAGGGAAATCATTAATGAAGTTGACACTGATCATGTAAGTCAAAATTAAACAACAAATTATATACATAATCAAATTTGCAATTATTAATTATATTTCGCAATTTATTGATTATAATGTATTTATTTTTTTAGGATGGTCGGATCAACTATGATGAGTTTGTAGCAATGATGAAGAAAGGAAATCCAGAGGCAGCAACAATGAATCCAAGAAAAAGAAGGGATTCATTTGTAGCATAAAGTAATTAATTTCATCATCAATGAAAAAATGTATGCAAAAAATCAAAAGACTAGATTATTTGTTGTGATGAAATTAAAGACCAAATTGTTACATGGTTAAAAGAAGGATAAGATTTTAGAATTTATAGGTATGTTGAAAAATTCAATTTGGTTGAAGGATGGTTTGATCCGGACACAACTCTCATTCCATCAGGAAATTAATAGTATTTTTATTTATTCTTTAACGTAACTTAAATCCGCAACTTATCAATTGATGATGTAGATGCTCAACTAGTAAAGCAAATCTCGCTTTTCTTTGATCGAGATATGATGTGAGGACTTTAGAGGGTATATGTATCTTGCAATTTAAAAGTAGGATTTTAGAAGTTCTTTTTCTAATTAGTAATTAATTATCTTCTGGATTATCAACTCAAATTGTGTTTTTTAGTAATTCTTTTTATATCTAACTTTGTGATATATTAAAAATGTGCCTTTGGGCTTTAAGCCTGAAGAGGATCTTCCCATTGCTCTGTGATGGTTATTACTTCCATATTTACCTTTCTAATTGCTATCCTTCTATATTGATTCTCGACCTTCAAAATTTTTAATCTAGAATTATGTCCTTCGTAAGCTAAAGATATGTCATATTCTATCTAATCATCTCACTCAGATCTTCTTCAAGCCTACTTTACATGTCTTATAACCTGCTATAGACAACCTCTCACACCTACTAACAAGTGTATTTGAGCACATTTTCTTTATATGTCCTAATCATCTCATCTCGCTTTCCTGATCATATCCCCACAGAGGCCACTCCAACCTTGTCATATATAATATCATTTCTAATCTGATCTATCCTAGTACACTCACACATTTATTAGAGTATCCTCATTGTCGTTGTCTTTATCTTCTTAATGTGTGTGTTTCTTGATTGACTAACATTTTGCCTCATACAACAAAATAAGTCTGACCACCGCTATGTAGAACTTACATATAAGCTTTAGCAAACAATTCTTATCATACATTATCGTAACACTAGCCTCCATTTCAGCTACCCTGCTCAAATGTAAAAAAATAAAAATAGAATTAAAAGTCACTACTAAAAAAATTGTGTATACTGACCTTCCAATGGAAGTTGTTATTGTTTTAAAAAATATAAAATAAATTTTTAAAGAAAACTGATACCCTGAAATCAAATTTTATGCAAGAAATAAATGCGAAAAAACTACATACCGATATCCGGAGGTCGAAAATTTTCCCGGAAAAAATAAATACAAGAAATACCGATTGATTGTAGTCGCTATTGAATTAATAAATAAATAATAGTATTTCATTTTATCTCAATTAAATATGAAAAAAAAAAAAATTAAACCGTCCTCCGGAGGACGGTTATGTGAAAAATAAAACCCCCAAAAAAAAAAATACCGACTTCCGAAAGTTGATAAAATTAAATTTTACATAACTAAATTAATTTTCACTAAAATATTTATATAGTGACTACCAGAAGACGATATTTTTATTTTTATTTAATTAGTTTTATTAAAACCAACCTTTATTGGCCGATAATACATTAGCAAAAGAATAAAATTTAATCTTATCTAAATTAAAAATACAGAAAACTAATCAAAATAATATTTTCAACTAACTTTAAATAAATCGTCTTGAAAGAAGGTTTTATGTAATATAAAAAATAAAATAATATAGAATACCGACATCTGAATGTCTGTATTATTTAATTTAACATGACTAAATTTTATTTCTATTAAAATTTTATTTGATATCGACATCCAGAGATCGATATATTTTATTTTTTCTAATTATTTTTAATAAAATCGACCTCCGAAGGTCTGTTTTTTAAAAATATTTCCATAAATCATTAATTTTCTATTGTGTACAACACTAAGGGCCCGTTTGGTCATGTGATATGGTATCATGATATGGAATCATGATATGAAATTATGAGATGAAATTAAAGTTTTGTTTGGACATGCGATATATAATTTTTGTGTTGTATATTTTCTCATAAACATAAGAATCTCATAAGTTGTAAAACTATTAAAATAGTTCCAATTGTTTATTCAATCTTATCAAATAAATAAAAATTTATAAAATTGCATAATGAATTATTACAAAGGTATTTGTCCTCCACTTAAGTAATTGTTTCATCTAACTTTAATTTGATAAAAAAAAAATTGAACATAAATCATAGTGTACTAGTCTTTAATATAATTCTTCCACATAGTACGGGACAATTTTCTCACGTTGAACTTACATTTCTCGATCATGTGACCGAGAAAACGAACCAACATTTGTTGCTGTTGACACCCTAATTTTGGCCTAACATTTTCAAAATTCGTAACTTTTAAGTTTTATTTATTTAATAGTTCAAGATAATTTTTTTATAATTTTAAATAAGTTTATCGATAACTATCCTTATTTATCAAATTTAGGATTTTTTATCAGTTAATTTTAATTACATTATTTTTTGTCATAACCAGTTGACTATATTCAAATATTTATTCATTTCAATTAAATCATTAATTCTGATAAATTGCATTTTTTACATGTCATTAGCTACGTTCATTATACTTTTTAATAATCATTTTATTTGTTACATTTGTTAATATTAATTTTGATATTTTGTACAGTCTAAAAATTCATTCGAATATGAATAAGATTTCATGCATAGATATTTTTAAAGGGCTAGTGATTTTGCGCACGATTTTAAAAGAATGATATTGTACTATAGATATTTTTTTATTTTTTATATAAACAATGACTTATTCATTAGGTCAAGGGTGGTGGATAAGATTTTTAAGATGCCGCCAGAGAGCTCGAAGCTCACACCATCAGACACGCATCGTTGCAACGCCGATTCCGTCAACAACAACGCCTTCTCGGGTAAATTTCCAGCAGTTGCGGTGACCTCTCCTTCGTGGGTTTGTCATTTTATTTTTCTATGCTTTTAATGATTTTTGTTACTTCTCTGTATACATATATATTCATTTACTGTTTATTGATTTTGCTAGAAAAATTATGCTTATATTTATATAAGCTTTGTTTGGATTTATTGATTTATGTGATTGTTCTTTTTTTATTTTTCCCTCTCTTTCTATTATGATCGTGAATTTATGTTTGTTTCTATTTTAAATTGATAGATTTTTGTTCCGTTTTGTTATTGTTTCTTTATGTTTTTCATGGATTTTGTGATTATTTTAGTTTATTATTTGTTTATGGCTATTCTAGTTTATTCCATTGTTAATGTTCATGTGTTTGAGACAAATTGTCTGTTAGTTTGAAATTTTTGTTAAGAAATTAGTCAACTTATCTAGTAACACTTTTCATTGCAATTTGTTTGCCATTATATTGGAATGTTATTTATTTTATTCTTTTTTTGTTATATTATTAAATTTGTTTGAACATATATTTTAAATTGACCAATGAAAAAATCTCTCTATCGATTTTCGAGGCCTTCTCATTATTAAAGACGGAAATTTAGTTTAAGTTTATATATTTTATTTGTTAAAATGGTCGATGAAGAAATTTCGTCGATTTCCAAAGTCTCCCATGTTAATAAGACGGGTTTTTTTTAATTATTATTTGAGTTATTCATATTTATTTAGTACTAATGGAACAATAAGGATCCCAAGTAGTATATTATAAACAAACACTTCCAAGCTGCTTACAATAGATCTGGAACTTGAAGGAACAGAAACGATACAAAAGCATTAATAAGGATAAAGAAGGTGATGAGGATAGAGAAGATTACAGAGATGAGAATAAGAAATTGCTATAACTTGTTGCCTACCCTACTCATCCTTATTTTAGCTACTTATACTAGCTCTCAGTACTTGTGTTGCCCTTCACGTGCTTTGCCCCATTCACAACATAATCAATTAATTTCTTAGGTGCAGTCCTCACACACGTGCTTCTCCTTGGTGCCCCACTCAAGTTATCCAACTCGGCAGAATGTGGGTCCACAACATTACTCCCTTCCGAATTCGGAACCTTGTCCTCAAGGTTCATAGATGGCAGTGGCAAATCAGAATTTGATTCAGTCAATTGTAGAGGAGTCACTTGATTCTCAGGCTGTCCAACACAACGCTTGAGCACTGAAACGTGAAAAACAGGATGAATCTTCGCGACCTCCGGAAGGTCAAGTTTGTAAGCAACTGCTCCTATTTTCTTGAGGACCTGAAAGGGTCCAAAAAACTTGCGCCCAAGTTTGTGGGAAGGCTGCAAGCGTAACGAATATTGGCGATATGGTTTGAGTTTGACATAAACCCAATCTCCCACTTGGAAATGGATGTCAGTGCGCGCCTTATCCGCATTAACTTTCATACGCTTCTGAGCCTTGGTCAGGTTCAACTTGAGCAACTGTAAAACTTCATCCCTCTGTAACAAGAACTGTTCCACCAAATCACTCGAACTATCTCCCATGACATAGCGAGTTATCGACGGCGGTTTGCATCCATAGACTACCTCAAAAGGCGTCATGCCTGCTGAAGTTTGGAGGGCTGTGTTGTACCAAAATTCAGCCCAAGGCAGCATGGCAACCCAATCTTTTGGAGTGTCGGCCACAAAGCAACGTAGGTACTGCTCCAAGCATTTATTTAAAGCCTCTGATTGTCCATCGGTTTGTGGGTGATAGGCGGTACTCATGGCGAGAGTAGTTCCTTGCAGCCGATGTATCTCCTGCCAAAAATCATGAATGAACCTAGGATCGCGATCAGTGACTATGGTGCGTGGAGGACCATGTAAGCGGATGATGTCAACCACAAAAGCCTCAGCCACTGTTCTGGCCGTGAAAGTAGATGGAAGGGAGATAAAGTGTCCGTATTTGGACAAACGATCTACCACTGTCATGACTGTTGATTTGCCTTTTGAACTAGGGAGACACGTGATAAAATCCATGGCGATGTCTTCAAAAACCAACTCGGGAATCGGGAGGGGTTGAAGAAGGCCTAAAGGGTGATGATTGATATCTTTCACCTGCTGGCAGATTTGACACGTGGAGACAA